GTTGCCAACCCTACAACATGTCAACACTCTCCCCTTCTTGACCTTGGGTTCCCTATTACCAGCTTTCCTGCCCTCTCCTGCCTTCTTGTCCTTGCCCCTGGGCTGGTGTGCCCCCATTTAGTCTCATTTTGTTTTATGTGCCTGTCTAATCTTTGGCTGAAGGGTGAACCTCAGGAGTGACTTCATTACTGAGCTATAAGGGTGTCTGGGAGCCATACTCTCAGGTTTCTCCAGTCTCTGTCAGACCAGTAAGTCTGGTCTTTTTTTTTTTTTTTTTGTTAGAATTTTCTACATTTTTCTCCAGCTCTGTCCAGGACTCTGTATTGTGATCCCTGTCAGAGCATTCGGTGGTGGTAGACAGGCACCATCTAGTTGTGCTGGACTCAGTCTGGTGGTGGCTGTGGTAGTTGTGGTCCATTAGTCCTTTGGACTAATCTTTCCCTTGTGTCTTTGGTTTTCTTCATTCTCCCTTGCTTCAGATGGGGTGAGACCAGTGGAGTATCTTAGATGGCCGCTCACAAGCTTTTAAGACCCCAGATGCTACTCACCAAAGTAGAATGTAGGACATTTTCTTTATAAACTATGTCATGCCAGTTGAACTAGATGTTCCCTGAGACCATGGTCCTCACAGCCCTCAGCCCAGTAATTCAGTCCCTCAGGGAGTTTGGATGTGTCTGTGGAGGTTCCATGACCTCGCCTTGGACAAGCTGTGCTGGCTTCCCCAGTATCGTGTACTGTCTTACCCTTCACCAAAGTTACCACTTATCTATTGTCTAGTTAGTGTTTTTCCCTCCCACCCCTCCTTTACCTCGTGACCATCAAAGATTGTTTCTTTTTGTGTGTAAACCTTTTCATGAGTTTTTATAGTAGTAGTTTCATACAATATTTGTCCTTTTGTGATTGGCCAGGCACTGTTGTAGACACTGATGATGCATAGTAAACAAAACAGACAAGTCTTCATGGAGTTTACATTCTACTGGGTGGTATTTAAGGAGTGAGCATAGAGAAGGACCAAGGATGAGCCCTGAGGACATTTCAGTTTAAAGAGATTGGAGAGAAGAGAGATAACAAGCTAAATAGATTGAGGAAAAGCCTATTGAGAATCAAAACCAAGTGATCAATGAGTGGAATGTTGTGTGCTGCTGAGAGAGCAAGTGAGATGTGGACTGAGAATTTAGAATTGGATTTAGCAATGGGAAGTCATTGGTGACCTTGACAACAGTGGTTTTGGTGGAGTGGTGGAGATGAAAGCCTGACTGGAGTGGATTTAAGAAAGAATGGAAGGGGGGGAAGTGGAGACAGAAAGTATAAGCAATTCTTTCAAGGAGATTTGCATCAAATGGAAGCAAAAAGATGGGGCAGTGGCCTGTCACAGAAAGTGGGGGCAAAAAAAATTTCTTGTTTTTTTAATAAGATGGAAGAATTAACTGCATGCTTGAATACTGATGAGAATGATCCAATCAAGGCAAAAAAAATTATAATAATAGTAATAATAATGTCACAGGAAAGAGAAGGGAGGATTGTTGGAATGTTGTCTTTGAGGAGGTATGAGGGAATCTGTGCCCTAGAGAGAGATGGTTTATTCTCTAAATAGTTTTCTGTTGTACAAGGCAGGAAGGCAGAGTATATAGGTGAGTAGATGTGATTCAGAGAATCTGTAGAAGTTCTGAATTGCTTCTGTATTTTCAGTGAAGTAAGATCAACAGCTGAGTAAAGATGAGAACAAGATGGTGGAGGTTTGAAGAGAAAGGAAAAGATGTCAAATTGACCTCTAGGAGAGTGGAAGGATGATTGGACTAGATGAGAAATGTAGTGATTAAGAAGGAGCATTAAAGCCCCACTTGGAGCCCTGGTGGCACAGTGGTTAAGAGCTCAGCTGCTAACCAAAAGATCAGCAGTTCGAATCTACCAGCTGTCCTTGGAAACCCTATGGGGCAGTTGTACTCTGTCCTGTAGGGTCGCTATGAGTTTGAATCAACTCGACAGCAACAGGTTTGGTTTGGCTTGGTTTTGAGATTCATGGTCATGAATGTAAAGTGGGACAAATCACTAGGAGAGTATGTTTTTCTCGAACCAAATTAAACTGCAGGAACAGGTAATGGAGTCTGCAGAGTTGGATTTAGTCAAGGTTGTAGCTCAAAGAAATTAAGAGTATGTACAAGGGAGTGAGCATGTTTGGCCATAGGATTCCAAGTTAAAGAAGTTGTTCTTGGGTGCTGTTGAGTCACTTCCGACTCATAGCGACCCCGAGTGACAGTAGAATTGCCCCATAGGGTTTTCTAGGCTTTAATTTTTATGAAAGGAGATTGCCAGGTCTTTCTCCCACAGAGCGGAGCCACTGGGTGGATTCAGGCCAAGCGAGTGACCATTGCACCACCAGGACTCCTTAGTTAAAGAGGAGAGGATCTTAAAAAATTGAGAACAGGGAAAGGGTGCAAGGATCAGTGGATTAGAAATATCTGGGATCAAAGGGTAGTTGAGAGTGAGTAAGCTGGAAAGATAGAGGGTAGTACATTTTTTTAAGAATTTTTTTATTGTGCTTTAGATGAAAGTTTACAGAGCAAATTAGTTTCCCATTGATAGTTTGTACTTAAAGTGTTCCATGACATTGTGTTCCCCACAGTGTGTCAGCACTCTCCCCATTTCCGCCTTGGGTTTCCTGTTTCCTTTCCTCAGGATTTTCTACCCCTTCATGCCTTCTCATCTTTGCTTTTGGGCAGTGTTGCCCTTTCAATCTCGTATAATTGATTATTGTAAGAAGCATGTTCCTCTCTGGTGTTACTGTTCATATTATGGGTCTGTCTGTTGTTTGGCTGAAAGGTGGTCTCCAAGAATGGCTTCAGTTCCAGGTCAGAAGGGTGTCTTAGGGTCATAGTCTCGGGGGTTCTTTTGTGGTACATAAAATGAGGTTATGGAGAAGTTGTAGTTACTGGTTTAGGTTATGACAGTGAGAGAGACTGTCTAAAATAGGGTGGAAGGCAAGATCTTTGGAGGGAGAAGATTTCAAGGAACTGAGAAGCCAGGTTATTGGTAGTTCAATGGTAGAATTCTCACCCTCTACACAGGAGACCCGGGCTTAGTTCCCAGCCAGTGCACCTCATGCACAGCCACCATCCGTCAGTGGTGGCTTGAGTGTTGCTATGATTCTGAATCGGGTTCCAGGTTTCAGTGGAGCTTCCAGACTAAGATGGACTAGGAAGAAAGGTCTGGCAATCTATTTCTGAAAATTAGCCAATAAAAACCCTATAGATCACAGTGGAACACTGTGCGATTCACACCCGATCATGGGGATGGCACAGGACCAGGCAGCAATTCATTCAACTGTACATGGGGTTACAATGGGCCAGGCTGACTCAATGGCAGCTGACTACATCTATTGAAATAGACAAGAATTAAGGCAGGAGTAGTGTTGGAGAGAGTGACAGTCAGCCAGGAGCTAAACTCCTCTAAATTAAGACGAGTGACCAAAGGTGTAATAGATGACAGTCACAATGAAGACTAGTCTATAAATTCCCGTATTAACCTGAATATACGGCAAAAAAGCGGAAGACTCTTAATGAGATGGATTGACACAGTGGCTGCAGCAATGGGCTCAAACATAGCAATGGTTGTGAGGATGGTGCAGGACCGGGCAACATTTCATTCTGTTGTACATAAGGTGGCTGTGAGTGGGAACTGACCTGACAGCTAACAGCTAACAGCAACAGCATACACACCCAGGAGCAGATGGTCAGGTACGCGAAATTGAAGACTTGTCTGTTCTTCACTGTGGCTACACCAGTTGGTACTCAGAACTATACTGTAGTAAGGGTTTCTATTTCCTGCATCTTTGCCGAAACTTGATATTATCTGTTTTTATAATTCTTGTCAATTTGGTCAACATAAAGTGTTATCTCATTATGTTATTGTGTTTTTCTGATTACCAGTAAGGCTGAGTATCTTGTTAGCCATTCAGGTATGCCTCCCTCTTGTGAATGCCTATTCTTATCTTTTGCCCATATTTTGTAAATTCGTGTTGCTCTTTTACTTAAGGAGTTTTCTATATACTGAGAACTGAGAACTTTATGAATTGAGATACTTTCTCTGGTTTATTTTATTGTCTTTTGATTTTTTTATTTTTTGATTATGGTGATTTTTACCTGCAGAACCTTTTAATTTTTATGTATTGTAATACCTGTATAAAATGTATAGATTAATTTTAGGGTAATTGTCATCTTTGTAATGTATATGTATTATATCTCTCCATTTATTCAGGTCTTCTTTTATGTCCTTAAGCAGTGATTTTTTTTTCCTGTGAAGATGTAGCCCATTCTTTGATGAGTTAACTCCTAGATATTTTATAATTTTGGTTGGTATTGTGAACAGTACCTTTTTTAAACAAAAAAAAATTATATTTTCCAGTTAATGGTGGTATGTAGGAACAGAATTGATTAGTACATTGCTTTTATATCCAGGAAACTTGCTAGACTCTTGTTGGTTCTAATAATTTATATGTCGATTTTGTACATTTTCTCTGTTAATCATTTCTTTCTGCAAATAATGATAGTTTTATCTTTTTCTTTGCAACCTTATCTTTTGCTACTTCATCCAGTACTATGTTGAACATTAGTAATGTAATGGGATTCTTTATAATTACTGAGCTCTCCAATAAGCATATTATTTTTCAAACAAAAACCTAGATTCATCTGATTATTATGATGGCACTCATGGGGACAGTGGGGGGGGGGGGCAAAAATAGGTCCCCTGAATGCCAAGGAGCCAACAAAGTACTGAGCAGATAGCTCTAATATACACTTGATTTACTTTTAAACCACCAGGCATTTCATTCATCAATGGTTGAGTTCCTCCCATGTACCAGGCACTGGGGATGCAGCAATGAACAAGACAGACCTGGTAATAGACTCTAAAAAGTAATTACAATAAAATGCGTGCTATAGGAGTGTTTGGTCAGGTGGTCGGAGAATGCCTACTTTAGAAAGAGATGTTTAAACAGAGACGTGATGGGTAAGTAGCAATTAATCAGGCAAGCAGGAAGAGGGAAGAGTGTTCCTGGAAAGGAAACAGCTTGTGGGAAGGCCTAGACCCTGGAGTGTGGTCTGCTGGAGAAGGGCCAAGAGCCTGGGTGTAATGATCCAACACTGGAGAGGAGCCAGAGCTTTGTGGACCATCTCACGGAGTTAGATTTGGCCCAAGGGCAATGGAAAACCATCAAAAGATTTTAAGGAGGAGGGTGACATGATTGGGTTAACATTTTAGTAAGATCACTCAGACTGCAAGATGATGAATTAAAAGAGAATAAACAGAGACCATTTATAAAATTACAGCTCAGACTAGGATGGTGGGATTCGGTGATTGATTGGGTGTGGCTGTAAGGGAACAAGAAGAGTCAAGAAAGATTTCTAGGTTTCTGGCCTGAGCAACCAGTTGGATGGTGGTGCCACTTGCTGGGCCAAAGAGTACAGGAAGAAGAGCAGGTTTGGGAAGGATGATGGAGTTCAGTTTTAGAAATGTTGCGTTTGAGATGCGTAAAGACATCCAGTGGGCAGCTCTGTTTAAGGGCTAGCATAGAAGTCTGATTTAGAGGTAAAGATATGGGCGCCCTAAGTTTATAGAAGCAGTCCCTGGGTGGTACAAACTTAAGTGGTCGGCTGCTAACCGAAAGGTTGGTGGTTCAAACCCACCCAGAGGCACCTCGGAAGAAAAGCTTGGTGATCTGCTTCCAAAGAGTCACAGCCAGGAAAACCCTATGGAGCATAGTTGTACTGTGACACACGTGACTCAATGGCAACTTTTTTTTTTAAGTTTATGGAAGGAGTCTCTGGGTGGTGCAAATGTTTAATGTTCTCGGCTGCGAACCGAAAGGCTGGAGGTTGGAGTCTGCCCAGAGGTACCTCAGAAGAAAGGCCTGGCAACCTACTTCTGAAAAATTAGCCATTGAAAACCCTATTGAGCACAGTTCTACTTTGACACACATGGGGTCACCATGAGTCAGAGTCAACTCAACAGCAACTGGTTTAAGTTTACAGATGGCGACATGAGATCGTTCAGGGACAGTATATGTAGAGTGAGAAGAGAGGAATGCTCAGGGCAAATGCCAGCATTTTAGGGAGGAGCAGGAGACTGAGAAGGCCAGAGAGGTAAGGGGAAAACCCATACAACATGGTGTCATAATTCCCCAGGCAAGGTCCACTGCCATCTTCCAGAGAAACGTTAAGGCCCAGGATCCTGGGGCCACAGTGGAAATCCTAGAACATTTTGATCCTCTTCTCTGTCTCTCTTTTCACCAGTTGCCAGATACAGACTCCAGATAGTTGAGCCCCCAACTCTACCTTTGGCCATAAAACCCAATCCCGACGGAGATGGTGAGTAGAGGGGAGTGAGTTCTCCCATGATGTGGCTCTGTGGCCTGAGCTGGACATCAGGGACACCCAAGGCCAGTGATCTATGGTACATAACCTCCTTATTCACTGCACAGGACCCAATTTTGAGCCCAACCTGTGGATGTGGGTAAACCCTAACATCGTGTACCCCCCTGGAGAGCTGGAGGTCCCAGAGCCCAGTAAGAGGGAGGACCTGACACTCCCCGACCCTCCACTGCCCTCCGAGGAGGAAGATTCCAACTCCTCAGAGGCCACGGTCACAGAATCACAGCCACCTTCCTCTGGCGAGCAGTCTCCCCCACGGAAGCGGTTTGCCTCTTCCCCCAGCAACCGGGAGGTAGGGACTTTCGGGGTTGTGGGCTGGGCGTGGGCTGTAGGCAGGGTGGGCATAAGGATGCCTTAAGAGTTCTGTTTTTCTAGGGATAACACAGGGTTAGTGGGTTCAGAAATTTCCTGCCCCCTTGGGTTGGGGAGAAGCTCAGATGGTGGTCCCAGACCACTGCCCCCTCCTGCCACTGTACCCCTGGAGTAGAGGCCGTGGAGTCAGGACCAGTTCCTACTCTGTGCTCCTCTAGCTCACAGAAGAGGAGGCAGAGGACCAGGATGACAGCTCCTCTGTGGCTCTCCCATCCCCTCACAAAAGGGCCCCCCTCCAGAGTCGGAAGCTTCAGCAAACCGACAGCCAGAAGGGGCGGCTCTGGCCCCGGCCCCCACTCAATTACTTCCACCTAATTGCCCTGGCATTAAGAAACAGTCCCCCCTGTGGCCTCAACGTGCAACAGATCTACAATTTTGCTCGGTATGTGCCACGGGGCCCTGAGGGGTGGGAGAAGGGGTCAGGGGCCTGAGTCTGTGGCCTTCAGTGTGCCCCAGGCCCTGGGCTGTTGCCTCAGTTTCCCCATCTGGGTCTGAGAGGATAAATGCATTCCCAGTTCTCCTTCTCCTGGCACTGGATCTAGGCTTCCCCTAAATGTGTACCCACATATGGACAGGAAGATATCCACCCTGCCCCCTTTCACAGCTAAAAACACTCCAACCTTTTAATATCTTAATTCTGCTGTAAAACATAAAAGCACCTGGGCCAGATAACAGTTTCTCCCACCCTCTTGAGAGTGTCCAACAGTTTCCCACATTTTTACCCTAGGACTGTCTGTACTGCCTGGCACAGCTCCCTGTACCCAGGGGCCAGGGTGCCCAGTGAGAAAGCTGTTACCCTTAGCGTTGGTAGTCACGTACGTGTGAGTGTGAAGAGGTTCTCGGGCCCTTTCCCAATCCATGAGAAGAGAACCTCCCATCTCTGTAGATGTCTCCTCCTGGATCTCCAGAATCAAGCGCACAGTAACCCCCAGGTGGTGTCCCTCCTTGGTCAGGACTTCCTCCTACAGGATTTGGTTGGCCTAATTCTGCTTTGTTCAGGCTGCTGGTCAATGCCCTGCACCCTCAGACTGAGGGAGGAAAATGAGCCTGGGAATGGGGGGTGGGGCAGAGACTGGGCTTACGCACCAGGAAGAGGTTTGGCTGCATGCTCAGTCAGCTCCGGGCCAGCTTGCCATCCTCCAAGATGAAAGGAGGGCCGAGGCTTCTGGCCCCTATGGTTTGAGAATTTTCTCGAGGTTAGGGCGTCCCCAAAAGAACCCATGCCTTTCCTTAACCTTTCCTCCCTCTCCCCAGACAGCATTTCCCTTTTTTCCGGACGGCTCCAGAAGGCTGGAAGAATACCGTCCGCCACAACCTCTGTTTTCGGGACAGCTTTGAGAAGGTTTCGGCCAGCACGCAGGGTGAGGCCAGTACACGGCCTCGGTCCTGCCTCTGGAGGCTGACTGAGGAGGGACACCGCCGCTTTGAGGAGGAGACCCATGCCTTTGACACCACGCGGCTGGAGCGTATCCAGCAGTGCATGAGCCAACCAGGTATGAGGCCCATCATGCATGGGGCTAAGGGGAGGACCCCTGGGGATCCTGGCCCAATGCCGAGTGTGCAAGGAGGGAGCCTAGATCACACCATGGAGGGCATCTTCTGTAGGAGGAAGTCTTTGCCTTGGTGGGGGAGAGATGAGGAGGATGATAGCAGTGGTCTGAGACCCTGGGATGTGCCTGCCTGAGGTGAGACCTCCTCAAGCATGGAAGTTGATGGGGAAACAACTAAGGTGCAGTTGGCCCTACTCAAGCCCAGCAACATAGGGAAAGGGTGGCCATACAATGTGAGAAGCACAGTTAACAGGTTGTATGCCAAGGAGGCTTTCTCTTTTCCCGGAGCAATTCAAAGAGGCTTCAGGAAGAGGTGGCATTTGAGCCTCCAGAGTGAGAGGAGGAGAAGTAGATTGCTTGCAGTGAGGGAGCATTCTAGGCTTGGGGAGCAGCAAGTGCAGAGGACGACTTCCTTTGACTCTTTTCTTTTCTCACAGATGTGATGCACTTCCTCTTTGACTTTTAACCCCAAGAAGCAACAGTCAGCCCAGGCCTTATTAAAGTCACGCGCAGCCTCCTATGTGTGTGTGTGGTCTTTGAAGATGGGGATAGAAGTGGAGGGGAAGGTCACCTCCAAGGGTGGAAATGGAATGCTTCCAGAGCTAATGGAATACCCTAGAGGCACTGGGGCAGTTGCCTGGTGTGCAGCACAGGAAATCCATACTTTTCCTCTAAGGAGGAAAAAAACTCCACCCTTATCAGAATCCTAGAGCTATTTGCATTTTACTGGGTTTTGAGGATAAACTTGGGGGATGTTAGTTTATAGCAGCCAGCCCTGCCAGAGGCCCAAGGAAGTACCACCGCTTATTCAACTGCCGTTTATTAAGCAACTACTATGTACCAAGCTATTGTAAACCCTGGTGGCTTAGTGGTTAAGAGCTACAGCTGCTAACCCAAAGATCAGCAGTTTGAATCCACCAGGCACTCCTTGGAAACTCTGTGGGGCAGTTCTACTCTGTCCTATAGGGTGGCTATGAGTTGGAATTGACTTGATGGCAACAGGTTTTTTATATACCAAGCTCAGAGGATAGAGTCCAGGCCCTGCCCTCAGGATCTAGGAACAATTTCTGTACTCTGATGAGCGCTGTAATAGTGGTAAGGGCACATGCTAAGAGAGCATAGAAAGGAAGAATTTAACTCTGCCTGTGAGGCCTGGGGAGCCCTGGTAGCACAGTGGTAAAAAGCTCAGCTGCTAACCTAAAGGTCAGCAGTTCAAATCCATCAGCCACTCCTTGCAAACTCTATGGGGCAGTTCTGCTCTTCCCTGTAGGGTCCCTATGAGTCAGAATCGATTCAACAGCAACAAGTTTGGTTTTGTTTCATGAGGACTGGAGCTGCTAACCAAAAGCTTGGCAGTTCAAACCCACCAGCTGCTCTGAGGGAGAAAGATGTGGCAGTCTGCTTCTGTAAAGATTACAACCTTGGAAACCTATGGAGCAGCTCTGCTGTGTCCTATAGGGTTGCTTTGAGTTGGAATTGATGGCAGTGTGTTTGGTTTTGGTTTTATGAGGCCTGGAAGGAGCCCAGGTGGCACACCAGTTAAGTGCCTGGCTGCTTCGGGGAAAAAAGATCAAGGGCCCACAGCAACA